AGAAGACCTGAGCAAATGGAGATATTTTATTTATAGTTTGGAAGATTCCACATTGTAAAGATGTCAGTTCCCTCAAAATTGTTCACTACAATTCTAATGAAATCCAGGAGGTTTTGTTTTGTTTTGTTTTTCAAAAAAATTGACTAGCCAATTCTAAATGCATATGAAATAGCAGACAGCGTAGCACAGGCCAAACACTCACAGAGAAGGAGGAAGGGTTCCTGTCGTGTAGTAAGACTGGTCATTAAATGACTGTGTGTGGCTTGGCCTGTCATTAAGTGATTAAGTGTGGTTTCGGCAAAGGAGAGGCTGGGGCACGCATCTGCACCAGGTGCATGCCAGCCTGTTTGGAGAAGCGTCTCTGCAGAGCAGTGGGGAAAGGTGGTCCTTCCCACCCCTCGTGCTCGGTCAGCAGGGCGCCCAGGCAGGTGAGAATAAATGCTGACTACTGTCTCAGACCACACACAAAACACACACAAGTGCTGGCGTGAACAGTAAGGATGGCTATTGATTACCAATACTGCCGTCACACTTGAGTTTAGTTTGTGTGGATATACGTTTTAGTTTCATAGTTTTTTCTTCCCCTCAGAATGGCAACTATTTCTCTACGTCTTCTTGTCGGCTTACACGGAAGTCTAAACCCATTCTGATTCTCGTTCCATTGTAGAAAGTCTATCTGTTTTCATCACAAAGCATCTTGAACACTTTCTTTTCTCTGAGATCTGTAACTTGCCACAGTGGGGAAGTGTAGGTTTTTAAGGAGCCCTCTTGGGCTTCATGACTTTTTTCAGTTCTGTACAATTTTCTTTTCTTACATCTTTGAGTACTTCTTGCCAACCCCTCAGAACTCTCTTCCCGAAATCTTCCTTGATGAATGTTGGGGTGTCTAAAACTACCCTGCATGGCTCTGAACAATTTTAAGTACTTTATCTTTTTTTCTGAGTTTGGTAGAATTCCACGATTCATCTTCCAGCAGACTTTTCAGCTGTGTTCATTCTGCAACTCAGTCAACTTACCAACTTTTTGTCACAATTGTTTATTTCTAAAAACTCTAAATAAATATTTCATAATTCTCTATTCTTATGGTATGTTTTATTGTCTCTTGTTTGATCCATTAACTCTGTTGAGGCTGATTCCTTTCTTTTGAATGTTTCCTTCCAACACTTGGTAGTCTGGGTCATACGTTTCTCTGTCTTCGAGATTCCCATTAGACTGCCTCTGAATGCTGTGTTGTGGTTGCCACCTCCTGCATGGGCAGTTTAGGAGTGGGAGGACCCACGGTGCTTCCAGGCAAGGGTACCAGTGGCTTATAACCACTACGTGGGAACTTGGCCCCACTGGGTAATGGCAGTCACCTGGGGCCCTGCTAGGCTTCTGTGACTCAAGCAGGCACACCTACTGCTCCCGCCTGGGGACAAAGACCTCGTCGTTGCCGCCCAGCGTCAGTCAGGGAGAGGAAGGTGCACACCTTACTGACCTAGCTACTCCCACTGAAGTGCTGCCCGAACCTGTCCTCGTGATGGTTAACCTGCCTCATACCTCCTCCTGCTTCCTGAATTTTCTACTTCCAAACTGAAAGAACTCCTGCACTCTCAATTCTATTGGCTACCTAAAACTTTATCTTGGGGGACCCTGACACAGCTTACCCTTTATAAGTAAATTTTCCTTTTTGCTCAAAGTTCACACATGCAAAATAAAGAAGTGGACATAAATGACCTCTGGTATTCTTTATTTCTACTTGGAAGGATAGATAGAGCCATGGTTGGTAATCCAAGGTATAATATCTGTCAAACAGCCTGGTTCAAATCCTTGTTCAACCATTTGCCATCTGAGAGATCTCACACAAATGGCTTCATCTCTCTGTGCCTCGGTTTCCTCATCTGTTAAATGTGACTAATTACCTCTCAGAGTGACTGAGAGAATCAAATAGGCTGATTTATAGCAAGGTCTTCCATCAATACCAGTTCACAATAAGTATGAGAAGTATGCAATAAATATGAGGTATTATGTTCCAATTCAATGATTTCAAAGCTGGAACCATATTCTGGATACTGAAACTCACCACATGCCTGGACCAAATGTAAAAAAAGAAAAAAAATTATTGCTAAAGGGAAGCATCCCTGCTGCCAATTATTTGGGGACATCATTAGAAGTCAAATTAAAAGTTTTCCTTCTTCCGTTGGTTGTCGGTTGAAATCATATTTCCTCTGGTGGAATTTCCTTACTAATTTTTGGGAATCTTTGACAGTTTTGGATTCTGCTCAAAGCAACAAGAATTGAATCCCAGTCCCTGTGATCTTTACAGCCCCGTGCTCGGCAGTGGGGTTAAACATATCACACTCACACATGCAAAAATACACCAGAGAAGGACTTTCCATTACATTCACAAATTGGCTCAGTGGGAAATTGTTTAATCAAGTGTTTTCTCCTCAAACTTCTACACTAGGTTTTATTTTCTTCAGAAATGTAACACAAAGTTCTGAGGCCTATCAATTATTTATCCTTTGTAAGCACATTTTCTTTTATGCTCAAATGCTAATAGAATTATTTTTTCAACTTCTTAAAATTAATTTTTAAAGGTTCTTAGGATGTTCATCTCTGCCTATTTTTCTTGGAAATCAGTGTAACCAGGTTACTATCCAAGTGAAGGAAGTTTTCTTCAATTCTATCTTTGATTATTGATTTCATGCCAATCACTCTGCTTCCTTTCTCAGAAATACCATAATTCTTGGGTGTACTTTCTGTTCTCTCTTTGGATACACCAACACCCCTCCTGTTATTTCCTGTACATTCTAAGACAACCACACCCTGCTCATCACTAATTACATTTTCCAGTGTATCAGTTTTGCTTCTTCATTACCTCTAAACTCTATTTAAATTCCGCTGTTGCAGTTTTAGTTTCCTACCAGTCTCCTTACATTTTGTTCCATTCTCTCGCATCTTACCACAGTTTATCTTCATGGAGTTCCCTTCCAGTTCCACAGCCACCTGCCTTCTATTTGTGCTTTTTGAATCCTGTTGACCTTCTAATTCTTGCCATAGGTCTTTTTCTGAAGTCTCGTCTTTTGTCTGTACCATGACGTATCCGGTCCTTATTGGACACTATTTTTTCATAATGCTATACCGTTTGCCCATTTATTAACCTTGGACATGGGCTGATGTGTTCAGAACTTATGCCAACAGGAGGTCTGCAGGTTTCTATAAGCCCCACTGTTGTACATTTATTTGGTTGCTTCTTAAATCGCTCTTCCCCATCTCCAGCTAAAACACTGTGTGATGCATGTTATGGACAACATTATTTAGAAGGGAAATGGTGTATTAGAACATGAGAATATTTAAATTAAATATTAAGGATAGAGAATACATTGGTGAAAAGTGTGCACCTATGGGATAAGTTTCGTGTTATTTTATTGAAGAAAAGAAAAGACCAAGACAGTGGCTTGGGGAAGACAAGAATACAGTGTGAGCAACGTGGATGAAGTTGGCACTCAGCTGTGGAACAAAGGAATCCACTAAGACAACTACACACTCCTTCCCCCTGCCGCCCCAGGTACAGGTCCTGTGCCACAGGTTAATGACACTGTAGTGAAGAGAAATAAACAGTATCAGGGATGAAACCACATGTGTTCTGGGCAGCTCCAGGAAAAACTGGCAGGGGTGGGTGGAGTCTGAAGGGGAGTTATGTATTAGATCGTGTATGGAATCATAAGGAGGACTCGGGTTGAGGTAAAACAGAATGTCCAGAGCCTGGGAATTAAAGAATTGGCCTGTCAGCATAAATGAATCAACTAGTTTGACATCTCCTTTGCTGTGCTTGTCCTGCAACATCGCTGGAAGGAGGAAACTGAGCTAAACATGGAGTTCTCTCCCCGGAGTTTCACGCTCTGGCTGGTTTTCTAGCAGTTACAGCAGCGCCTCTGCCTGTCTTATTGAAGGGTCAGTCCTGCCAGTGGGAATAGGTCAAGGAATCAAGAGCTCCCAATCGAGTGTAGCTCTGCTGGAGGGTTACAGTGAGTTTCTCCGCCTCTGGCCTGACTCTGATGCTCCAAACAAAGAAATTAGATGAATATACAAACCCAAACATGGCCAAATGCACAGGAAATATTCTCTGTGCAAAATGGGTGCTGGTTGGTGCAGTTTTACACCTTTGAGCTCTCACTGAAATCCACCCCCATCCCCTGCTTCCTCCCGAGGGAGAAGCCCCTTACAGGGCATCTTTCAGGCAGTAGAAGATAGAAGAGGAAGACACATCTTGCCCAGTGACACACTACAACTTTTTAAAATATTTTATTTATTTATTTTTAGAGAGACGGGAAGGGAAGGAGAAAGAGTGGGAGAGAAACGTCAGTGCGTGGTTGCCTTTCATGTGTCCCCTGCTGGGAACTGGCCTGCAACCCAGGCATGTGCCCTGACTGTGAATTGAACTGGCGACCCTTTGCTTCACAGGCCTGTGCTCAATCCACTGAGCTACACCAGCTGGGACGCTACACCAACTGGGACTCTGCACCACAATTTTAACTGCCATAGAAACAGAGCCCCATTTCCAAAACACATTCAGTTTAAACATTCTCTCTTGCCACCCGTGTTAAAGTGCTCTCTGAGTTTGCCATCTCCTAGAAGTGGTCTAATGATTTGAACTTTCAGAGTTCCCTCATGAGGAGGTAGGTGACTTAAAGTCAGTATCACTGATGACAATGTTGACCTTCAGGTCACAGAGGGTGAACTTTTTTTATATGCTTGAAAGTTCAGTGTGGTGAGAGGTGAGGGAGGGAAGGAGCAAGGACCCTTTGATGCTAATGGACTTAGATGAAAATCAGCTACAGGGTGAGAAAAAGAGCAGGATAAAGCCCAGGCCAGTGGCTGGAGGAAGGGAGCGTGGTGCTGTGATGAAATTCCACCAGCTTTAGATAGTAGCAAAAGCACAACAGGCCACGTTGGGCCAGGGGCAGAGTGCACTGCCATGTTCTTCCAGCTCCCCGGAACTAGACAGTGTGTTCCTTTCAAGGGGAGCAGAACCTGCCATAGAAGAGAATGGTTTGGGTTTTGTTGTGTCTGATGAAAAAGAGAAAAGGGCGATTGGCGTTAAAGGTCTCCCAGGACGGTGAAGACATTACGCTGCCAACAGCCCCACTGGCTCCGACGGCCTGGGTGCCATTTTCATCCACCTCCACGAAGGTCTTATGGACGACCTTAGACAGGTACAACCTGGGGTTTGGAGAGATTCCAGTAAGATCAGCCTTCTTTTCATCGAAGACATCTGTGATGCCCATGTTTTGGAGAATAGAATTGAGATCGTAGCTGTCTTCCAGGGTGAACTGGGGAAAGGAGACAGCTACTCTTTTTTCTGACATATTTTCGGAGCTGCTCCAGGCCACTATTTTTTCATAGGTGATATTCCTTTCAAGCTGCAAGAGGAATAAAAGAATGGTTGAGGGTCAGATTATCAGCCTGCAAAGAAAGCCCCAATTACTTCTCAGGGCCTGAGAGTACATCAACAGTTAGTAACAACTTTCAAGTTTTTTTCCTACCCCTCAACCTACTCTGACTTCATTTAAATCCCCTCCAAGCAAACTTCTTTTCTCTATAGGAGTTGCAGGAAAATTTGACTTCCAGTGTTCTTTGGGGTCTGACAGACTAGTGTTCAAAGCTCAGCAAAGCTCAGCTGATTAAGCTGGGTGAGCATGACCAAGCCTTGACATTGGAAGTTTAATCTCTTCTACAAAACAAAGATAAGACCATTAGGCTCTTCGAGGGTTAAACGAAATAATGTGGTTAAAGTACTTAACCTAGTGAAGGCACATGATAAATTTTGGATAATGGTTATTACTGTAATTACTATCCAGCATTTCTCTCTCTCACTTTCTCCCTCTGCCTCTCTCTCTCTCTCTCTCTCTCTTCACCCCACAGGACATGTAGCTGAGCTTCCACAGCCTTCATTAATTCCCACATCACAGAATCTATTCTAGCATCAGAACCTCCACTGCCTTCAAGGCACAAACACCCTGAAGCAGGATTCAGCTACAGTCTTTAACTGACCTACAGTCTGCATAGGAGGCCAGCAGTCAGGATGTTCAAGGGGAAGGAAAAGCTCTTTCATCTATAGCAATTTCCAAGTCACTCCTCATCCATACGGAATGCAGTGAGATTAGAGTGGAAAGCCTTGGCCTCCAGGCCTGGCATTTGTCCTTTTCTAGCAAATGAGGAGTAACTAGGTCATCGGATTCAGAGTCTCGTGTATTTTTTGCTGAGCTCTGACTGCTCGAGCACCTCCCTGCCTCAGGAGGGTAGGTGGTAGATGGCGCTCTCTCCAAAGATCTGTAATGAGACCTGCTGGAGAGACAGGAAAATGAAGGCTTACCTCCTGTAGGCCCGCCAGGTTATCCTCAGAGGGAGACGGCAGGATGACGAACATGCTGAGCTTGCCTTGGATGTACTGCATTTCAAGGATCTGTGCCCTCACCTCCTCGATGAAGCCCACTCTAAAGACACCCTTTTGGTTCATCATCTTCACGGTCTTCTTTTCATTCTGTAGCGAACAAGGAAGAAAGTCACAGGACTGCCACAATAAGCTCACAAACTCACCTGGTCCTTGACCTCCCTGAAAACAAAGGTCCCTTAAGATGAGCAGGGCCTTCACCAGATGTTCTGAGCCACACCAGTGACCCAGCCTATGAGTCATGTGCCTGTTGGTCAGCTGGCCCTTACTTTGCCAACACCTCCTCTTCCTGTGGTTTTAATGGTTCCTCAGTTCTCAGGACCATTTGTTGGTAGATTTTCTGTCCTGGCGCCTACCCACAGCCTAGTTGCCAGAAGTAAGCCCTGCAGCTCTCTCTCTGTCTTTTATTCCTCAGCTACCCCGACCTGATGGCCTCATGCGACTCCTGCCCCCGTTGGACCAAATCCCCACACCACAGGACCAACAGGACCCTTGGTTAAATGATCATCTATCTACACAGTAAATGACAACACAGACTTCCATCTGAGGAAAGGGCACAGCCCTAGACTTCTTAAACCTCCTAATAACCTCACAGGGGGGGGGGGGGAACCATCAGTCTACAGATGAGGACATGGAGCCCTTGAGAATGAATGACACAGCTGCCAAGTGCTACCCTGGGGACTGACGCCTCCCTTTCTTTCTATTCTGCAGCCTGGAGGCTTAGAACATGGGTATTTTTAGGCCCACACAGATGTGAATCCTAATGCATGGATTTAGCTAGGTAACTTCACCTTCGCATTTTTTCCCCTCGGCTCCTAAGTGGGAGTAATAATAATAACACCCATTTTCATAATGTGATTTTAGGGAACAAATGAAATAACAAAACAGAAAATGCTCCATGTAATGCCTGGCGCACAAATGCTCAATAAACTTCAGACACTGATTTTTGGTAATAGCAAAAGTGTTCTTGTCACCAGTGTAAGCTGCCACCCAGAGGCTTAAGTCTTAGATTTGCAGGTACAAACAGCAAACCGTTCTCAATGGAAACCGCAAGGGGACCATCTAGGAAGCCACGTGGTCTGACATGGTACCTTGTTCAGCGAGAAAGACGCGTCAACCGTGCTCTCACTTTCAAAGTATTTCTCCCACTTGGCCTTGAAGTACACGGCATTCACCAGCACAAGCACAGTTGAGTTGTTAATGGTGTCCTTGCTGAAGAGGTCCTTGATTTTACCTAAGAAAATTGTTTTTCCAGAGAATACCTTGAATATGAATTGCACCAAAAGTATTTATGTAGACAGATTTTTTTCATGCAGCTTAACATCCCCAGAGCTAGAGAGTGTCTCATTCAAGAGCTAACCCCAGAAAAGTAAACCACCCAGAGTCCTAGGTGGGGTAGGGGTGGAGGTTAGGTTGGGAGCCGGGGAGGGGGAGGGATCCAATTCAGAGACCAGTCGCTGAGGGACTTTCTCCCTATCACTATGAGTGGAGCTTGGCTTCAGCTGCCGTATGCCCTGATTTATCCTTCAAAGTAGCGATCCTGCCACCTGATCACATTATAACGTCCTGGAGAAAAAGGACTATTGTGTAAACTTTCTGTCCCACACACTCATCAGAGCAGCATACATATGCTTACATATAAACAAAACTGCTTCTAAAAACACAAGGCAATGATATAAAACCTATTTTACAAGGACTTTCCCATGCCCTCTCTCATTCCATCCAACATCAATAATGAAAAAGAGATATTATTATCTCTTCTTTATCAGAGGAGAAACGACAGCCCCTGAGAGATGAGGCCACACAGCCACAAAGCAGGAAAGCTGGATGAGATCCATCCTGGAACCTTCCTTTCCACTCCTGGCTCAGCTCTGGGCTCCTTCCACAGTAACCCCTCCCTAAGGCAGACTGGGCGAGCCCGCGGCTAGCTGGCAATGGTTCATTTTCAGCACGCATCCTTTTCTGCCTCCAAACACCAAATCATCAATGCCATTACTTGAATGCATGCCTAGGTCTTAAGATGAGAAAACCCTTCCACCTCAAAAAGATTTCCACTTAAATCTCATACTAACACCTTATTTTGTCATCATCTACTCTGGGGGAGTTAACTAAGAAGAAACTAGATAGTTGTACCTTAATATAAAGTTTTTTAGTGAACCGGCTTTCCTCTTGACAACTGAGTGCAACCCCGAAGGCATGGAGTTTTTGTGGCATGGGAAAGAAGTGAGGAGGCATAATTTTGGAGTTTGGGTATGTCCCCCAAGGAAAGGCCAGGCAAGGGCAGCCCAGCACAAAGCCAGTGTTAGGAAGACAGGAGATAGGGCATCTCCCCAGGCAGGAGAATCTTCACTTGAAAAAGTACATTAAACCTTTGACCTCTGTTGTAAGCAGAACTGAATGGCGTGTCAGAGAGGTGATTTCTTTATTTGCACTCAGAGACTCTCTCTGCTTTTCATTTTAGATTTTATTTTGTTTGGTTTTTTTTTTATTTTTAGAGAGAGGGCAAGGAAGAGAGAGAGAGAGAGATTGATGTGAGAGAAAAACATTAATTGGTTGCCTCTCGTACAGGCTCTAAATGGGGACCAAACCTGCAACCCAGGCATGTGCCCAGACCAGGCATCGAACCAGTGACCTTTAGTTTTGTGGGATGATACCCAACCAACTGAGCCACATTGGTCAAAGCTGCTTTTCATTTAAAAAAATTAAGATTTCATGTTAAATTGCTATGGGTCATTCCTGATGACTCTTGGACTCTCATTAAACAATCCATCCTCTGTACAAGCATTTGGTAAAATCCTTCTGGTCTACCCCTTAATATCTCTCACACCCATCCACCTCTCACCATTGCCATGACCACCACGTGGTCCAAGCCACCAGCACCTCCCTCCAAGTCTTCTGCAGTGTTGCTCTCACTCTGCCATTGGCACCCACATCCATCCAGTCCTGTCCACCTCCAATCTGTCCTCCAGTCCACGATCAGAGATGTCTTTTAAAAGACATGCTCCCTGTCTTCAACCTCCTCTGGCTTCCTTTTGTTCTTTGTTCACCGTGTGAATCCATTCTGAAAACTTTTATACTTGTGTGGGTTCTCACTAAGACAATGTGACTTTATGTATTAATTATCAGTAAACATAAGACACTGAAACATATTGTAGATTTAAAGCTCCCTACGCCTCAATTAAAGAATAGTTTCTAAGCGTGCTAAGTTATTTTTGTTGTATGCTAGTTATTCTAAGTCCAGGAGATGGGGTCCCAAGTATTTCTAATGTGACAGAGAGACCAATCCCAATGTAAGTGGGTATTTTAGAGGAAAGATGAGTTATTGATTCTATGTTTTCAGTGCTGAAAACCTTGGCGTGGCTCAAAAAATGGAAGTGATCATGCTCTCAAAATGACATACTAAACTCTAATGAAAGCATGAGCAGCATCAGAAATATTGAAACAAGAAACAGAACCTACTAGAAGGAACTATCCAGAGCATGAAGTTACAGGTTCCATTTACTAAAGAAAACACAAATTATGGCATTTTATGGAAGGGAAACATCTTGCTCCATCATTGTACAGATGTGGCTCCTGAGAACCAGAAAGCTCATCAACCCCAAGATCATTTAACTAATTTAGCCACTGTCAGCCCCAGTTTCCTGCAGTTTCTATTTTGGTTTTTAATGCAAACATCACAGCAGTGAAGACCCTGTACTTCCCCAAGTTAAGTTCAGAGGCAAGAGATAGGCAACATATAGAGATTGATACTATTCTGATGTAGCACAATTTATGTCTTTTTTGGAACAACCACGAAAGTGAGACACTGAAGAAAACATTAGAAAGAGGACAATGAAGAGTAGAGGGTAGATGAAGTTCAGTGCTCAGAGGGGTCATGGCTGAGTTCTTCGGTAGCCCGGCAAGAGTGTTTGATGGGCGGGGCTGCAAGCAAGTCAAGCAGGGAGGCCGATTTTATTTCATTGAGACACGTGACCGGGGGAGGAGGGGTGTTGCTCCTGTTCACACAGTCCATTTAAGAGACTTCCATTTTGCTGGGAGCTGGATAAAGTTGGAAGGGGAGTTTCATATTTAAAAATAATTGCATTTATAGTGAACTCAAGTTTTCACCGCTCATCCCTATGGTAAATCCCCCTTCACTCAGAACACCTGTGTTTCTAGTGAAAAGTTGATACAAATGCAGCTTTTATTATTTCCATGTCCCTCTGAATAACTAGATTCTCCTCACAAGCTCTTTATTGACCCTTCAAAAGAAATGGATATAGTTAACGTCCTGATGGGCATGGTGCTTGGCCGAAAGGTATGTCACCTATACGATGGAATAGAGAGTGACAATCGGTGACTGTCGTAACTAAGCATTTTAACTGTTTGAAAGGTGCACAAGAAGCGCTGGACCCAGTTATCGGACCTGAAGCACAGGGGGGCGTCTGGTCCCTGACAGTCAAGGAACCTGAAAGCGGGGCTGACCCTTCCGCTGTGAGATGGAAAGCCAGGCCGCGGACAGTGCATCGGGGCTTTCTTACCTTGGGACTGAGACTCCACCCAGAAGTTAATCTCTTGTCTGGACTTCTCAGTGTCTTTCCGGAAGTCAACACTTTCGATGGTTGTGTGATAAAATTGAACCACACCATCTGAGTACTCCTGTCAAATTAGAATAAAAGGAAAATAAATCGAAGGACAGAAGCCTCTATTTATGCTAACAGTTGGCAGTCGAGCAGTCATGTGCCTCGTCGTTCACACCGGATGCACGTCGGCCTCTGTCTACCCCCCAGTCCACTTAGCCAGAATCTCTGTGGTTGCTATGGTGACAGCCAAGCGTATAGAAAGCTTATTATGGGCCGGTCCAGAGTTATAATGGCACATGGCCTCCCTACCAGGTGTCGTCGCGCGCAAGATACAGATCAAGGAACTTGATGACTTAACTCTAAATAGTTTCTATTTAAAAAAATTAAAACTGTTTAGTGGTTACAGAGTTTCTGACTGAGGGGACAAAAAGTTTTAGAAATACGAAGACGATGACTCAACGCTGTGAATGTAATTAATGCCACTGAGTTGTAGATTTAAACATAGTTAAAGTAGACATGTGTATATTATAGATATTATAAAATTTTGTCAAAAATTAATAATGGGGTATGCCCAAACCATTGATGTGTACATTTTTACTAAGTGAATTGTATGATACGTGCATTTCCATCTCAGTAAAGCCAGTTTTCAAAGAACAGCATGTAAAAAATCGCACTTCCATCGTAAGAAAACTGGTTATCTCGGTCAAAGCAGGGGCCCCGTGCCTTACCAGGCCAGCCCCAACCAGCTGTGCGCGCCTGCGCCGTTGCCACGCCCCTCCAGGTCACTGCCATGGATGTGGCTCCTTCTAGTGGTGACAGAGGAGACTGAAGCCCGGATTCGGAGGAAGCTTGCTCGGGCGACAAAGCGCTGTGGCCGCAGAGACAAATCTGCCTTTGGCTCCAAATCCAGTCTCCTCCTCCTACACTAGCCCACTTCTTAAGGGAGTGCCATTTCTCGGGGCGGGGGGGGGGGGGGGGGGGAGCAACTGAAAGGGGGGCTACCAAGTCCCTCTACCAGGTCCCTTGACTGGGAAAGAGGTCACAGCAGAGAATAGCATTACCAAACCCACACACACGCTGAAGGCCGTGAGTCACGTGCCCCTCTTTCCACTCACAAGAAGCCTCGTGAACTGTTCCAGTTGGAAACTGGGAGGAGGGCCCCAGAAGGTGTGGGCCAAGAGGTGAGTCCTGGGCCTCCCACCAGCCTGCGGCACGTGTGCTGTCCAAGTGTCCGCGTTGGGGCTGGCCTGTGATTTTCGCCCCGTACGTCCCGGAGACCTCAAAAGGTCGTTCTTGCCCAACTCACCGGACAGATTGGAAATTCCTGCTCTCCGTAGAGCCGGTTCGCGATGCTCAGGGTGTAAGCAGCTTTGATTCTATCTAATCTGGAGAGAAGCTGCCCAAAGCAGTAACTGAGACGCACACTTTCATCCTCAGAAGACCCCGCCTAACAAAAGAAGAAACAAACTGTGATCTTAATCAGCTAAAAGCACATTGTCTTTTGGCTTTGTTACCACGTGAGGGACAAGATGAGGAGAGAAGAAGGGAGAGAGCCGGAGGTCCTGGTGGGAGGTCCTCCGTGAGCACTGGGTCTGCAGGGCTGGGCCAGGCGCCTCCTGCTTCAGGTCCCTACACCCCATTTTTTCTCCGCATTCAAAAGATGCAAGGAAGAAACCATCTTCTCTCCACCTTCCTCTTCAACTTTTTAAGTCTGAGGGATTAATAACCTGGAGAATAGCATTCCTGTCCCTGGTATGAGACAACCAATAAAAGGTGTGCGTGTCAGTACAGATTTCAGCAAGAAATATAACAGGCAAAAGTGGAGGGGAGATGGTAGGAATCCCGCCGGTGATGCCCACCAACCCCTGCCTTTCATCCTCAGCCAGGCCTGGAAAAAGCAGGTGCATAATGGGGCTTGGAGCTAAGCTTCTTTACCATGAACAGAAGCCGCTGGACCCTACTCATGAGGGAAGTAGCGTACAACCAAGAACAAATAAGGCACATAAACAGAAAGGAACTGTGGGCCACCCGGGGTAATTGCTGTCGTCAGAGCAGTGGATGACAGCCAGGAGCAAGCGCCCCTCGGCACCCAGAGGACAGCCAGCGTGAGCAGTCTGTGAGGACCAGGGCAGGGGCTGACGCGGCTCACCTGCGGAGCAGCTCCTTTCGACCCCTCCGGAGAGCTGTGGGCCAGTACCTCCCGCTCCTGGTCTTTCAGACAGGGGTCCCCCGCTTCGCCTTCACTCTGGGAAACCTCGTTGAAGTGGAGGACCTGCGTGAGGATGGCACAGGGTGTCTCAGACAACATGAACAGCACGAAGTCTGGAGAGCTTCGGGGACGTTTTAACACTGTGACAACCACCGAGACCTCCGGTCAAACAAAACAATCAGCCACAGTTGAAAGGAAAGTGGGTATTTCTTCTGACTTGGGTTGTGAGGTGCGATGGAGGAGAGGCCAACGGAGCACCACCCCCACCTGCTTGGGACATGTAAGCACCACTGTGACCAGCCTGAAGGGCCGTCCGGGGTCCCTGAGCCACGTGTGGTCACTGAGCCAGTGTGTACTCACTTCAAAAATACACATCAGATTTTGAAGACTTAACATGAAAAAGAAAGAATGTGAAACATCTCCTGTAATGTTGATCTGATAATATTTTGGATATATTGAGTTAAATAAAATAGATTATTAAAATGAGTCTCACCTACTTTTTTTTACTTTCCTAATATGGCTGCTGAAGAGTTTTAAATCACGTGGACCAAATCCTACACATATCTGACAGTGCCGATCTAGGCCTTCACATCAACAGAGTTAGGACACCAGGAGATGCGTTATCCAGAGCCTCAGGCCAGTAAGGCATCCACCCCTGCTCAGGGTAGGTTTTCTCCCAGTGCCTGGAGAAAAATATGTCTCAAACCTGATCTGGAGGATGCCAATTACAGTCTAAAGCTCAGTTTTGCTAAAGGAATAATATACCAAAAACAAAGTAAATCAAGAAAGTAGAATAACCCTAAACGCATGCTGCCTTAATCCAAGAAGTCACTCCTCTGTATTAGAGACAGCAGCTGGGTTCGGAGATGACCCCTGTGCCATGCGCTAGATCTGGGGAAGTGTAAGACCACCCTCGGGAGCCTGTAGCTTAAGGGGGAGTTGCTCTTGTCACTTCCATCCATTTATTCATTCTACACACAGGGATTAGGGTCCGGCTTGGAGGGTGGACCTGGGGTTACCGTATCTGCACCTGGTCAATCTGATGTGCACTGTCACTTCTGGCCCCCAAACGGACCATGCCAAGGGCAGCTGAGAGGCTCAGAGGACAGAAGAAGATGTTTTTAGAACCATCACTTTTGCTTATCTCTTGAAAAAAGTCAAAGCAAAATTTGGAGTTTGCTGCAATGAGACAATCCATTGTGTAACTGATGATGGTCTAGAACAAATAACAAGAGAGAGAAAATGGTAATCAGAGGAAAACAGGTAAATAAATCTCATTTTAAATACCCAAGATATAACCACAAACAGTTATTCAGTATGTTATTAAAACCTGGGAAGTCAAGTCTTTGTCATCCTGGTGTATAGATAATGATTTTGATAATAATGCAGAGAGGAATCTATTTCCATCGGTGGTGTGAATTAGTTTGCTCAGGCTGCCTTAACAAATTACCATGAACCAGGTGGCTTAAACAACAGGAATTTATTTTTCCCTCAGTTACGGAAGCCAGGTGTTCAAAACCAAGGCGTTGGTGGGATTGGTTTATTCAGGAGGCTCATGAGGAAAATGTTTCATGGCTCTCTCCCAGCTTCTGGTGGTTGCCAGGCACTCCTTGGCTTGTAGAGGCATCATCTTTGCTTCCATTTTCACATGTGTTCTCCCCCATGTCTTCTGTGTGTGCACCCAACCATCCCTTTTCCTGTGAGCACACTAGTCATTGGGTTAAAGCCCACTCTAATCCAGTAGTTTGACCTCATCTTAACCTGACTGTATCTACCAAGACCCTATTTCCAAATAAGATCACATTCACCATTACTAGGGATTAGGACTTAAACACATCTTTGGGGTGAGGGGGTGTCACACATGGTAAAGCTCTGCCCAGTTCATGGGAGAACTTCCTTTATTCGGGTAAAATAAAATCTCAGGATACCATGTCCCCACGGTCAAGTTCCAGCCAAGAAACCCTTCTGCTGATTCTACTTCAGAAAGGTGTCTGCATCTCCCCGAATGTTCTGAGACAGAATATATGTCCTTCAAATTGTCACAGGTCATGTCCTTTGATAAAATTCTCACCTTTGGATTCATTCCCTGTGAAACCTATAGGATTTGAGGCACTTTAGTTAGTCCTTGACATTGTCCAGGAGACAACAAGTTTTTGAAAGGTGCTCAGGGTTTGGAAGTCATTAGGTGTAGCACCTTCTCTTGACAGTGTAGAACCATAGGTACTACAGAACCAAGGTAAGGGAATGACTTTCCCAGAATAGCCCTTGCACCTGACCCCAAAAATCAATTCCAGAAGGGTCAACACAATCTTATGTTAGATCTCACTCTGAACCTATCCCTCTCACATAAAATATTTTTTCCTCTTGTCTTTTTGCTTTTGGATGTTGTGTATTTCCAAGGTGGAAATGTAGGCCCCTTATTTGTGTTTTTATCAGCAGACAGATGGCACAGAGCAAGCATTAAAAAATAGTTACTGCCTTAAACTGAATGGTGTATATTGGTTTCAACATCTTCCCACTTTAATAGATGTCTTTAATCTTTCAAACGTGATTCAAAAACATAACCTGAGGGAATTTTAAAAACATGCTGCATATGTCTTTACATCTACACTGGAAAACATCCTTCAAACAAAGAAATCACTATTTGACTATGTCTGAACTCTGATTGCTGATGTAGGCTCTCTTAATAGGGCTACAACTTGAAAAACTTGTATACAAAAACTCAGTAATCACCATTTTCAAACAGACTTGAAATAACCTTTTAAAACAGTAAGGTCCCTCAGAAATCTATTTAGCTCAAGGAATCCACGAAACCCAATTATAAATGACTTTGTAATAATAGTGACCATTTACCCTGAGCCTACAACGTTCCTGCCACCTCGCAAATACTGTCTCCAATTTTCAAACAATCCCATAAGTCAGAAATTAGCCTCATTCTACACCCAACCATGAAATGGCACAGCTGGTGTGCAAATCAGTCATCTGGGTCTGATTTTCCAGCCGCCGTCCCCCCCTGCAGGACGCTGCCATCCTGGGCCACAGCACGGTGCCCTGGAGAGCCACACCCCCCCATAATTCATGTCCACAGTCCCCGGCATCACCTCCCACCCACCGCAACTACAGAGGGAGACGCTGAGGAATAATTTTATTCAGAAAAAAAAGAAGTAAAATACTTTGATAGCAATAAAAACGTTATATTTTGCCTGTAATATTTCCAAATGATTTATCATTTAACCTCTAAAAAAGTGAAAGGAGGATTTTGATTCTCAAATGTAAATTTGTTGTACCGATGGCCAAATATAAAGAATGAGGTCTGCCACCGGTACAATACATTTGAATTTTGCTTTCGCAATATTGACGAACCTACTGCCTTTATTTTTTCATGGGCCTTCTCACCTTGCTGTCATAGTGTATATATTCATAGATATGCTCATTTGTCTGTATATGAAAGACAATATTTGTATTACTGTGCCCCTTATCACTCTGTTTATAAGGTGATTGATTTGACATTTCTGTCATTCCTTCTAAAACATAATCCTTTTGATAGCAGATGATTTTTATTCATCTTTGTATCCCATTAGTAAATATAAGCAGTAGCACGCAAGAGCATTAATAAATATTTATGGATTTGTTTGCTATCACCTGCCTCTTTTGTTGTAAATAATTCTAATATTTGAAATAATAGATGATAATTTCTATTTTGTATTAACTTTATTCTGCAGGGAGTGATAATGAACAGAGCTGTTACACAGTAGAATCAACTTTGGATCAATTTTCTACTCTATTAGAAATAATGTAGTTACTAAAATATGGTTTCCTTTATTGGGACAACATAAAAATTTAGACTAGATAGATTTTCTAACAATCCACACTATTCCAAGAGTAACTGTTCTCTTCAATATAGTAGGAAAAAATATATCCCCAAAATATTTCATGCCCTACAATTTCCATAATTTTTACAAGGCTATTAATAATCTGAGAATAAACTTTCAACTTCACACAAGTAGATGCTATTCTGCTGGAACTGATTTCCAAACCTGGTTATAACTAACTAAATGATACCCAATATCTAAAAACAGAGATATGCTTGTGAAAGAGGCAAGCAAAGCATTTCCATCTTATGTTGCCAAAAGAAATGTAAACTCACATTATCTAAAATACAGACATTCTGCCCTGGCTGGTGTCGCTCAGTGGATTGAGCGGGGGCCTGCAAACCAAATGATCGCAGTTCAGTTCCGAGTCAGGGCACATGCCTGGGTTGCAGGCCAGTTCCCAGCAGGGGACACACGAGAGGCAACCATACATTGATATTTCTCTCCCTCTCTCCTTCCCTTCCCCTCTAATGATAAATAAATAAAATCTTTAAAAAAAGAACTTTAAAAAATTTTTAAATAGACATTCTAATTGTTATACCATCTTATCTTTCAGAAATTAGTAGAAACATACAATCTTCCAACTATGTAAAGATTTTAAAAATCTTTTCAAACATCCACATTTTTAAGAAATCTGACATCTCTAACAGCTGACCAGGCACTGGAAGCTGAGGGAGGTAACAGATACTACTGTCACGTTTACAAAAAAAAAAATTGCCACAGTTACAAAAAATTCAAAACATCATAAAACGAATCACTCATTTTCCAAAGGCATTTGACTAAATAAAAACAGCATAGCTTTTGCTTTCAATCCAATCTACTTTGGGTTTCTATTATTTAAAATGATTTTCCAGCGCAGGGCTCATCGTTAAGAATGGTATCGGGCAATACCAGCATTTACCTTCTTGCTGTCAGAGATGCTGCAAACAGCTGGCCAGGTGAGTTCCCATCCACACCCTGTCAGGGATGGGAATATATGAACCCTGCCCCTCCCACCGTGGCCCTGTTCCATCTGCCATGTTGGAAGCCAGGGTCAAATTATCACTGATTGATTGATTAAAGGGGAAAAAAAGAAAAGAAAAGGAATGTGTGGCATATATGTTTTTAAACAAATATACTCTATGCTTTTGACTAAATTAAATATTTTACTTACTATATTTATATTTTCTTTCCCCTTTCCAATTGGGTGTCTTTATAGGCCCTCATAATAATATTGAGCTACACATTTCCTCCCAAACCACCCCCATTAGATAAAGGGAAACAGAGAATGATTTTGCTTCACGTGCAAAATCTTGGCCATTCTAACACCTGAATTTCTACGTTCTTCTAAACTTTGTTAACTGATTGCCTCCGGTTTATTAAATGAGCTTGAAGCCAGTTTCGAAGCTGGGGGTTTGTTCTCCAGCAGCAGACTTGTCGTGGGGGTAGGGATTACTATTCAATTTACTGACTAGAACAGCTGAATGCCAGTCAGAAGATAGAAATTATCAAGACAAGCAGAGAGAGGGGACAGGAATTTCTAGAAGAGAACTAAATTGGTAGGAACTAGAAAAATAGTGCACTCTGTACCAATACCTCCAGAAAACCTGCCCAATTTAGCTTTCAGTGCTGTGGCCTGCTCATCTGTTTATCCTACGTATTTCCTCAAAAGCCTTTTAGAGCCCTGAACATTCCCACTTTCTCCCTTTTTGTTTATCTTTCCCTCCCCACTCCTGCCCTCCTTTCTTCCTTCCTTATTTCCTTTCTTCCTTCCTCTTTTTCTCTCTTTCTTTCTTACTGAACTCCTGTTACAGATATCGTGGAACAAATGTATTCCACAACTGAAAAAATCAAGTTTTGAAACAAATCCAAATAAGTTCTGAGATTCCTTTTAGTTCTAACATTCTACAGCCCTAATTTTTGTATGAGGCTGAACAAGGCAGTGAGTGAATAGAACACAAAAGGTGATGAGACAAGCATTTGAAAGAATAAAAACGTTGGGAAATGTTGGGAATCAACATGATTTAGGGATGAAATGAAGATTCCTTCTTGGCCTGGTTCCCTTTTTGACTCCTTTCTCTCCTTTTCTAACTCATCAGACAACAATATCATCTCAGTTCTAACCCCACAAATATCGTCAAGTTAGACATAAGGGAATTCAAAAGAAAACTTTTTGAAGTGGGATATTGCCTTTATAGAGAATATAACCCACTTAAATATAGTCTACTGTATGTTTACTTATATGGAGAATATAAGCTGTTTATGCAGCTGGTGTAGAAATAAATCAAGTAAAAAATCATTTTTATAAAGTAAGATATCAACCAATGGAAACCAGTAACTGGAAATCAAGGGGCTCTTCCAT